TTCCTAACCCAAAAATTTTTGAAAGTTATTCACAATCGTGTAATAACCGGTGATGAATTGAGTATATTCCATTCTCTGAATGATGAGTGTTGTAAATGCTTACCAGACATAAAACATTAAAGAAATAGCAGTAACTCTTACAAATAATATTATTTGTTACTACTAAAGCAAATAAACAAATTAAGTGATTTTTACAAAACAAAGTGCATGCTAATTCTCAAAAAAATATTACGTACTTAACCTTTTGTGGAAGCAGAATTTTGCAGGCACTTCTGGAAAAGAACGACGAAAATCGGTTGGTAACAAAATAATGCTTAGCTGTTGCCAATTAAATCATGTGACATCGATATATAGGCACCAAATGATGAAATAGATACCACTCAGAAACGGATCGTCCAGTCAATTTCAAATTTAGCTTGGGTTTTGGAAGTAAGGGGACGGTGAAAAGAGTAATTCAGTAGTTCGGCGATGACCAAATGAATGAAAAAACTGAAAGGTGAATGATCAAAGAATGAACACATGAAGCAACAGCTGAACGAAAGGAAGAAACAAGCAAATAATTCAGTGGAGGAATACACAAATGAACGAATAAATTGAATTGTACGGACGAATCAATGCATGAATGAAATAAAAAACAACAATTCAAGTAAAAGATGAATAAACTAACCAGAAGATTTACTTACACACGAAGCCAGTAATTGTATCCGTCGGATAATTGACCAATAGCGACGCTTCAGTCCGTTTCTCGTTTGAAGTAAGCAACTGACTGAGCTTCAGACTCAGCGTCCGAATGGTCATCTGCGGCAACATATAAACGAGTGGTTTAATTCATGCCTGATCCTTTAGACCTCTCGACTGTCCAAGAGTCGTTATTGTTCGTTCAGACGATTGAAGACTCAGCGTAAAGCAATTTTCACAGTGCGATCGTCGTAGATGAACAGGGGGGCGATGGCGTTTTCAACCGGTCCTGGTGGTTTGTACTCAGAATAGCGTTTCCTGAACAAATGTGAGTTTGAATGAAATCAGGGATCCAAGCAAAGAATAATTGCAGCCGTATGACAATGTATCGGACATTATGGCCAGCTGTCTCGCGCGCTTGCTACAGCACACGAGAGTACCTGGCAAACCTTCATGTCGCGAGTCAACGACTTGTTTTGACTGAAACACATCGAAGTGAATTTTTTGCTCAAAGGGACTAACAGTTGTGCTGGCAAAGGGATTCAGAATTACATTAGTGGTACAGTAGGAAGTGGTCGTCTTGGAATCCCAGAGAACGAACAAAATCTTTCTTAATTTTTGAATTCCCTTATGCAGAAAATTTACTTCTTGTTGCTCTGGGCAGCCAGGCAAAAAATAGAAAACAATTCTTTGACTTGAGAACAACAAAGGCAGCATGATATTCATGTGTGCTCATACCAGAACGGACGAGAGATGGATACGACAGTTTTCTTCCGACTGGAGCATTTCTGACAACTGCAATTCGCACTGTCCCATCAGATAGCTAATTATCCAATGTTATAAACAGCACAAGATGTAATCCTGAAGAAAGTAAAAAATTTCTCACACGGAACTTTAACATGACATTGCTAAAGTTGAAAAACGAACTGATGAGCCGTTGCGCCTTTCTACCTTTGTCATCCAGTTAAAGTTCATGAAACTCTGTCGAATGCGAGTGGCAGTTTCTTCATCGAACGAATAAAAATTTATGGCTGTTGGCTCTCTGCGACAAACATGTTAAAGTATGACAACAGACCGAATCTAAAAGTAATTCTTCACGAAAATAACAAATAAAAGTTCCGATTTTTTATCAACTTAAAGCAAACTTATTGCCATAGAGGACTGTCTATCAAAGAAAAAATCAGAGTTTAAGTTAATGATCTGTGTGGCCTATTTACCACCCCCGAATAATGCCACATTTTTCACTGTTAGATGAAATCGAGTGTCTTTCATTTTTCAACGTAGTTTTATTTCTCCGGAAGTGCTGTATGTCACGTGATAGGGAAAGAATCGAAATGATGGGCATAAGAATTTTGGCGCTGTCAATGGCAGCGGTATTGTTCTGAACACAACAACCGAAGTAATCAAATCAGCCGACATCTGAACCGGTTTGATGAAAAAGCTCCCTTACCCTGCCTGGGGTTAAATGATATCCGATAGTCATCGGACAGATCCGGTGTTTGATCATTGTGACCAATTTTAGACCGGTTTATAAGCCCAGTCTAGGTAGGGAGTTTCGAAAAGAAGCGTAGCTTGCCTTCGTCACTGCTGCGTTCTCTTGTCTGCATATCGTTCTGGTAATAACTCAGTCGTGCCCTGCGCGTGGGAGTGAGACATGTATGAAAAACAAACGTTCAGTTCTAGATACCGGCCTACGCTTGTGTAAACATATATACTCTAACCGGCACACGCAATCCAAGCTCAACATTCCGACCAATCCAATTCGGACAGCGGCCTGCAATCTTACTTAAAGTGATCAATTGGCGTATCCGGTGTGTCCGATCGACCACAGGCATTAGTGCTCTGAGTCCCGCAGTTCGATGTTACACCAACATCACCGTTGAAGCAGCCGAGACGCAAAATGGTGGAATCAAAGGGAGGGAAGACAGAAGGAGGCGGCAGTGACGGTCCTCTGTCTTCTGTCGTGAACGTCAAGTCGTTTCGTAAGTTAGTTTCACGACTGAACGTAGTATCTGTCTCGGGACGCATATCCGTTGACTTTAGCGTTCTGGAGTCTGAAATCGGTGCGTATGCACTTCGCCGTCATGTTGTGCTTCGTGGTTCTGGCCAACACCATGATGAGAAACACGTTGAGCATGGCCATTCTCTGCATGGTGAACTACACCGCCGTACAGGAGATGGATGTAACATCGATTCCCGTCAACCGCACGAATGTTCCTCCCGGCTGCCAGCTGACCGAGGCCACCATGAAGCAGTATGAGGTATAAAATTTCTAAAATTCTGATATTTAGGCATTCTGTATTCCATTGAAAAAAAAACATGACTCGTTAACGAAATCGAATACAGCATATCAAAGTAAGTTTCTCGACTTGCAGCACAATACTTTTTGATTAGCAAAGGCAAGTGAAAAACACGTGACTTTCCCTACTTTAAGTTAAGTCAGTGAAACTATCAAAACTCAGAACCGGTCAAAGTCAAATAACAAAAACAAAGAAAATCTCCTCCTTATTAGAATTAACTTAATATCACTGAGCAGACGATTGATGTAGCTGACATTTTTCATCGGTGTGCTTTTGATACGGTAGTACCACCTGTTCAGA